CCGCGTTGCGGCGGCGAATCTGCTGCTCGAATTCAAAAGATGAATCCCAGGCCACAGGACCCGCCCCCGCGGCTGCTGAAAAGTTCCCGCCCTCGTCTTGTTGCTGCCGCAGCGAGAGGAAGAGCGCTATTGGCTGGCACGTCCAGAGGGGGACTAGAAAGGGGCGCGAGAAAGACCCAGTGTCCCCAGGGCCCTTGGGAAATGTAGTCCTAATCAGGCGCGTCACAGGGTGCTTTTGAAGGAGGGTTGCGGGGGGCGGTCTTTCAACGGCAGAATCGGCCTAGTTAGGAATTAGGGGATTCCCCAAAATGAGTGAGCCTCATCCAATCAGTTGAAGGCCTGAATAGCTCCAAAAGGCTGAACACCCCCAGAGATAGAGGGAACTCCTTCTTCCTGACTGTCTTGAGCTGGGTTTCTTCTAGGCTTGGGTTCTGTGCTTAGTCGCTCAGTCGTGTCCAACTGTTTGTGACACCGTGGACTGCAGTCCGCCAGGCTCCTCCGTCCATAGGGATTCTCCAGGCAAGAATACTGGAGTGGGTTGCCATTTCCTCCTCCAGGGGATCTTCCCAACCCAGGAATCAAACCCTACAGGCGGATTCTTTACTGAGGGAGCCACAAGGGAAGCCCAAGAATATGGATCCAGGTTTGGGACTTACACTGAAATATCAGGCCTTACACTTGATCCTTGGAAGAGAAGTTATGACCAGCCTGGACAGCTTATTAAAAAGCAGAGCCATTACTTTGCCAACAAAAGTCCACCTAGTCAAAGCTATGGTTTTTCCAGTAGTCATGAATGGATGTGAGAGTTGGACTATAAAGAAAGCTGAGCACCGAAGAATTGATGCTTTTGAACTGTGGTGTTGGAGAAGACTCTTGAGAGTTCCTTGGACTGCAACAAGATCCAACCAGTCCATCCTAAAGGAAATCAGTCCTGAATATTCATTGGAAGGACTGGTGTTGAAGCTGAAACTCTAATGCTTTGGTCACCTGATGCAAAGAACTGACTCATTTGAAAAGACCCTAATGCTGGGAAAGATTGAAGGTGGGAGGAGAAAGGGATGACAGAGGATGAGATGGTTGGATGGCATCACCAACTCAATGGACTTGAGTTTGAGTAAACTCCGGGAGTTGGTGATGGACAGGGAGGCCTGGCATGCTGCAATCCATGGGATCGCAAAGAGTCGGACACGACTGAGTGACTGAACTGAACTGAACAGGGTCTTGTGCCTTTTGGCTTTCAGACTAAAATGTATACCAGTAGCTCCATGGGATCTCAGGCCTTCTGATTCACTCTGAAACTAAACCAGCAACATTCCTGGGTTTCCAGTTTGCCAATTTACCCTACCTACCCTGGAGGTTTCCCACCTCTGTAATTGTATGAGCCGGTTCCTTATAATAAATCTCTTTACATACATATATGTCTCCTATTGGATCTGTTCCACTGGGGACCCCTACTAATACTTCTTAAAATCTGTTATTTTGAAAACTGCAAAATATATTCAAAAATTGAAAGAATAAACAATGAATACCTATATATCGTTCACCTAGATTCACTAATTGATTTGCATTTTCTTTTGCTCTCTGTGTATTTTTCTGAACTATTTCAAAGTACATTGCAGACATCATGTTACTTCACCTCTGATATTTCAACTTTTGTCTCCTAAGAGTAAAGACAGTCTAATAATGGAACTCCAATACATTATAGCATAGTATATTGTCATACCTAAAGAATTTAACATTGAGGCAATAAAATCTAATATACAGTCCATATGGACTTCTTCAATTATCTCCAAAACATATCTTAGAGCCTTAAAAAAAAAAATCCAGTATCAAGTCAAGAATCACACGTGGCGGTCAGTTGTCAGGTCTCCACGTTCTCCTTCGTTTAGAACATTCTCCCAATCTTTTTTGGCCTTTCATGACACTGACATTTTTGAAGCATCCTGGCCAGTTGTCTTGTGTACTCTGTTCTCAACACAGCAACCAAAGGAATTATTTTAAAGCCTCGTTAGATCATGTCACTCATCTGCCCAAAACCCTGTGGCAGCTTCGAGACTTAGAGTAAAAGCCAAGGTCCCTGAAACAGCCTCGCGGGTCCTGCGGGGGGTTTTGTGCTTGCTGCTAAGTCGCTTCAGTTGTGTCCAAACTGTGCAACCCCATGGACTGTAGCCCGCCAGGCTCGTCTCCCCATGGGATTCCCCATGCAAGAATACTGGAGTGGGTTGCCATGTCCTCCTCCAGGGGATCTTCCTGACCCAGGAGTTGAACCCACATCTCTTCCGTCTCCTGCGTCAGCAGGTGGGCCCTTTAACACTAGCCCCACTTTTTCCTCCCCGACAGTTTTCTCCAGGACCTCGACTCCCAGTCCTTTCCTCCCTGCCCACAGTTACACGGCTGCTTGTTGCTTAGAGATCAGGCCAGGCCAACTCCTACCTTGGCCTCTGTTCCGCTGTCCTGAAATAGTCTTTCCAGGATATTTTCTTGATTCACTCCCTTACCTTGCTCCTTCAAGTCTTTGCTTAAATGCCTCCTTCTCATCCAGATCCACTCGAACAGCCTTTTAAAGCTGCAGCCTGCACCTCCTGGGCCTTTTCTGCTCCCACACTCCGCAACCCCTTACCCTGTGCTATTCTCTTTTTTTAAATTATATATTTTTATTTTAAAAATCTCAAACCTAAAGAAAAGTTTCAAATACAGTGTAAATAATTTTTTTCTTGAATCTTTTGAGAGAAAATTCCTAACTAAATACCACATCATTTCAGATACTTTGGTGGGAATTTCCTACAAACAAGGACATTTTCCTACTTAAGCACAATACAACTTCAGTACCAATAAGTTAACCTTGATATGTTTCTACCATCTAACCCCTAGACTCCATTCAGATTTCATCACTTGTCCCAGTAATGTTCTTCACAGCAATTAAAGGACAGACTGCATTCAGACTTGGATTCAGTCCAGAATCAAGATCGGGATCAGGCATTGTATTTAGTTGTAGGGCTTTAATTTCTTTCAATCTGGGATTGTTTCTCAGTCTTTCCCTGGCTTCATGACCTTGACACTTTTGAAGATTACAGTTACTTTGGAGGATATTTCTTTCAAAAAAAAAAAAAATCTGGCATTAACAGTCTTTTAAAAAATTAATTAATGTATTTATTTTTTAGTTGCGGCAGGTCTTCATTGTTATTCACGGGCTTTCTCTAGTTGCACTGACCGGGGGCTACTCTCTAGTTGTGATGCTTGGGCTTCTCATTGCAGTCTCTTGTTGCAGGAACAGGCTCTAGGGCTCCTGGGCTTCAGTAGTTGTAGCACATGGCTCAGCCGTCCTGGTGCAAAGGCTTTAGTTGCTCCACAGCATGCAGAATCTTCCAGACCAGGGATCAAATCCGTGTCCCCTGCATTGGCAGGTGGATTCTTATCCACTGGACCACCAGGGAAGTCCTGTAGAATATTTCTACAGTTGTGTTTATCTGGTGTTTTCTCATGATTTTACATTCACGTGATTCATCTTTGCAGGAGCCTCACAGAAGAGATGCTGAGTTTCTCACTCCATTCATTCAGGTAGCAGCTGATTTCATTTTGTCTCATTACTGGAGATGTCGATCTCTCTCAATGATTAATCTGGTTCTGCAAACCTTCTCCATGGTGAGGTTTTTCCGTTAAAATTGACAAGTATTTTGTGAGGAAGTACTTTGAAACTATGTAAATATCCTATTCTTTTTTAAGATTTTCATTTGTTCATTTATTTATTAACATCAGTATGGATTTTTGTTTAATCTAATTAATCATTATTATGCACTGAATTTCGTATCCCTGCCTCCAAATTCATAGGTTAAAGCTCTAACCCTCAATGTGACATATTTGGAGATGGGACATTTGGGAAGTAATTAGGGTTCGATTAGATCATGAGAGTGGGGCCCTCATGATGGGATTAAAGAGAGGGAAATCTTGCTCTCTCCTCTCTACATATAAGCACAGAGAAGATGCCATGCAGGGACACTGAGAAACGGCTGTCTGCAAGCCAGGAAGGGGGGCCTCACCAGGGACCAACCCTGCTGGCACCTTGATTTTGCACTTCCAATCTCCAAAACTTCGAGGAAATAAATTTCGGTTATTTTAGCCACCCGGTGTGTGGTATTGTGTTATGGCAGCCTGAGCTGACTAGAACAGTCTTTCTTTTTTTTTTTTAGGGAGGGGATGTATGTAAACCTATGGCTGATTCGTGTTGATGTATGGCAGAAACCAACACAATATTGTAAAGCAATTATCCTTCAATTAAAAATAAATAAAATTTATTCTGTTTATTTATTGGCTGCCCTGGGTCTTCACTGCTGTGTGCAGGCTTTCTCTAGTTGCAGCAAGTGGGGACTGCTCTCTATACTCTCCTGCTGTAGCACGCAGGCTCAGCAGTTGTGATGCATGGACCTAGTCGCCCTGTGGCATGTGGAATCTCCCTGGACCAGGAATCGAACCCGTGTCCCCTGCATTGGCAGGCAGATTCTCACCCACTGGGCCACCAGGGGAGTCCTCTGACAGACTTTCTATGTGGCTGGTTTGCTGTGTTTGTACTGCATCCTCTTGCCCACCCCTGCGTGTCAGAACTTAAAGGTGCTGCTCGCCAGCAGGATCTTGCCTCGGCTCCCGCTGCAGCCCAAGAAGCCGGGAGGGCGGTGGAGGCACTCGTCCTGTGTGCAGAGAGACAGGGGTGTCTGAGGAAGCCCGCTGCTCTCCCCCAGCCTTGGGCAGACCGTGGGCGGGGAAAGTCCGAATCACTGGGACCAGGTACGAACGGTTTTATTTTTCTAGAAAGAGCAAAGTCCAGAGAGGCGGGGGAGGGCAGGCCGCTGGGCCAGGCGGAGCCGCGGTGGGCAGGTGGCAGGGGGCGCCCCCGGCCACTGCCCCAGAAGTAAACAGGCATGGCAGAGGCTCAGCCGGTCGGGGCCCTCCAGCGTGAGGGCAGAGAAGGGGCAGGGGAGGCGAGGTGAAGTCCCCGACCTGCTGGGTCACACGAAGCCAGGCTTCATGGACGAGCGGCGGCAGTTGGGGCAGCTTCGGGTCCCGTTGTTCTGCAGGCACCTTCGGGTGGGGAGGAAAGGGCGCTGTCCACTCGGCCGGCCTGGCCACCCACCCTGGCCCCGGCCCCCTCCTCCCCTCCCCGCGGCAGGCAGCCCTGCTGACCCCTGGCTCTGTGCCCGGGGAGGGCTGCAGGCCAGAGCCTGGGCCAGGGGTCAGGCATGGGTGAGGGAGGCGCCTCTGGCCCCGGCCCCCTCCTCCCCTCCCCGCGGCAGGCAGCCCTGCTGACCCCTGGCTCTGTGCCCGGGGAGGGCTGCAGGCCAGAGCCTGGGCCAGCGGTCAGGCATGGGTGAGGGAGGCGCCTCTGGCCCCGGGCGCCGCTCTACCGTGCCTTTCAAGCAGCCTCTCGCTGTGGTCTCTTTGGGGAGGACAGCAGGGCCGCTGGGAGGCTTCGATGGGTGATTAGCCAGGAAACTCTTAGAACAGGCACCCGGGCGGCCCTGAGAGAACCACCTCTGTGTGGTCAGGGCGCTGACCTGAGGTGGAAGATGTGGGAGCAGGGCAGGGCCTGCAGGCGGCTGTTCCGCTCGCCGATGGACTCGCCGCACAGGCCGCAGTAGAGCTCGGTCTCCTCCACGCACTCGTGGAAGCGCACGACGTGGGCGCGCAGCTCCCGCTGCAGCCCTTTGCTGCGGTAGATGCCCTCGCTCAGGCAGTGCAGCTTCAGCTGGCCCAGCTGCGGCACGGGGGCGGGGCGGGGTGGGGGGACGAGACCAGGTCAGCCGCGAGCAGCTGCTCGAGACGATGTCTGTCCGCTCGGGGCCACAGGGCGCCCAGGACACGGGGGGCCTGTCCTGGCCGCGCTCCTGCCTTGCTGAGGGACCTAGGAAAACCGTCTGGCCCTCTCCCGGCCCTAGCTTCCCTTCATGCCAAATGATGGGGTGGGTGGAATCAGCAATACTCCTAGAAGCAACTGGGGACCTCATGTTTTTGAAGGATTTTTATTGACCAGACCTGCTGCCTCGATGCCCTTCCTGTTTCTGTTAATTGCATACCCACAGCAACTCAGCATTTCTGAAGAAGTTGAGATATTTGGGTAAGCCAGAAGGCAGGTCTGTTTGGCATTTTAACGGGACTGTGCCCTGACCTCTGAGAAATGCACATCTTCCACAAGACTCTGAGGCTATTTTCAACATTTAAAGGTTTGGATAGGATGATGAAATTTGAAGAGGCCACGTAGACTGTGGGAAGAACACAGGCTGTGGAGTTAAGACCTTGAGCACCTCTCTGAGCCTCGCTTTCTTCATCTGTAAAAGGGGGCTTGCTATACCCACCTTGCAGGAAGCCAGTGAGTCCTGGAACCCACAACTAGAAGAGCCCTGGGGTGCCCGCCTCCCTATCAGTGGCAGAGTCTTAATGACCATCAAGAAACCTCTGAGGGGGGCTTCCCTGGTGGCGCAGTAGTGAAGAATCAGCTTGCCAATGCAGGGGACGCAGGTTTGACCCCTGATCGGGGAAGATCCCAGGTGCCACGGAGCAACTAAGCCTGTGCGCCACACGTACTGAGCACGTGCTCTAGGGCCCGGGAGGCCACACCTTCTGAAGCCCAGCTGCCCTGGAGCCTGTGCGCCACAGCAAGGGCAGCCACCTGGGCAGGGAGAAGCCTGTGCACCGAAACCAGAGAAAAGCCCAAGCAGCGGTGTAGACCCAGCGCAGTCAGAAAGAAAGAGACTCAAAAAAGAGAAACAAACCACTAAGGAATTCTGATATCCCCCGAGCTATGGAATTCTCGCCCTGCCCACCCCACCCCCCAAGTGCTCTCGGAGTGGAGGAGAAACAGCCAGGGTCGGGGGTGACTGGGGCCATCTCCTGGAGATCACGAAAGACTCAGGGCACGAGCAGGCTGGTGGGGGGCGTGGCCTCCTCCCCACTCACCCACCCATTCAAGATCCCACCTTGGGCTCCTGACTCCAGACCGAGCAGATGGAATCAGGTCTGACCTTGTTCCCCACCTCCTCAGCCAGGTCCTGGGCTCTCTCAATGGCATCCAGAGCCTGGAAGGGGAGAAAGGCCAGGGCTGCAGGCAGGGCCGTCAGACGGAGGCCTTGGCTTGTAGGGAAGGAAAGGCAGGGAGGGGTGAGGCTGGGGAGAGGAAGAGGCTGGGGTACACAGGCCTGAGCTGCCTCAGGTTACTTGGATACAGAATGGGAAGAACATTCCTATCTCATGGGGGGTTTGTAAAATTTGGCTCTCTTGTTCAGTTGTGTCCAACCCTTTGCAACCCTTCGTTGCCTGCCAGACTCCTCTGCCCTTGAAATTTTCCAGGCAAGAACACCGCAGTGGATTTCCCACTCCATGTGAGATTGTAGGATGTAGTTCAAGCCTCTCAAGTTTCAACCCCAGGTCTGGCCCTTTAGGAGCTGGGTGATTGGGCAAGTCACACCCTGCTCTGAGCCTGGAAAATGACCTGGGATGCCCTGGGGTGAGGCTGATGCTGGACAAGGGGTCTGAAAGAGCCCAGTTGGGAACCAGACCCACACACGGTTGGTTGACGTGTGGGAGCGCTGGGGAGAGCTGGGGGCCGCAGGACAGGGGTCCCCCTCACCTTGTCCAGCGCCTTCCTGGCCACCCAGCACTTGGCCACGCCCAGCAACACCTGCACCTGCCCCAGGCGGTTTCCGATCTCGGTCATGATGCTCATGGCGGAGTCGTACCTGGGGAAGGCCGTCTGCGCAGCCGGGTTGGGAGGATGGATCAGGCAGGCCCAGCCCGGCCCGCACCGCCGCCCCCTGCACCCTGGTGACCTCACCTGCAGGTCCCCACGGCTCCGGTGGATGTCAGCAAAGCAGAGCAGGCAGAGAGCCTGCAGCGGACGGTCCCCGTGCTGAAGCGCGATCTTCATAGACTCCTGCGACAGAGCCGGTCCCTCAGGCCTGCCCGTCTGCCCCCCACCCCGGAGGCATCCTCACCCCGGGGGCCCCTCTGACACCCTCAGAGCCCAGTACCCCTTTCCTGGTGCTGAGCCCCCGTGTACCAGACCACTGAGGGCTGACACCCTGGAGGCTGAGGCTCTGAGAGCGGAAGGGGCTCGACCAAGGCCACCGGTGAGGTTATTAAGTGGCAAAGCTGGGATTCCGACCTAGGTCGGTGGAACCCCAGAGACTGGCTCGCTTCAGACTTAAAATGCCCCACAGAGTGGGTATTGAGCGGGGGGCAGAGGAAAGCCCCCTCCGCTGGGAACAGGCTATAAGGGAATGAGATTTGGGGCAAGGGGAGCAAGCGCACTCTTCAGGGGCTCAACTGTAGAGAAGGGGGGCCCAGGAGCCAGCCTCGGGGGGCCTCGGCCGGCTGGGCAGGCAGGAAGAAGCCCCGGGCCCGGGCCCCGCCCGCCCCCTGCCCCGCGCCCACCTCACAGCACTCCATGGCGCTGCCCAGGTGGCCCAGCAGACGGTAAGCTACAGCCATGTGATACTGGCTCATGGCCCGGTACTTGAGGCTCCAGCCTTTGCCATAGTCGTTGACGAGCTCTGCGGCCTTGCAGGGGAAGAACAGGGCTTTCTCGTAGTCCTGCAGTGGGCAGAGGGAGGGGCCGGGATGCGAGGGCGCGTGCTGAGTGCCGGGAGCTGCCCCTAAGTGGAGCGCTCCACCGCGTGTTCCTTCGTTCATTCATTCCTTCATTCTGGTGTCCAGGAAAACTGTGATCCAGGCAGAGGGAACAGCCTTGCAAAGGGGTGGGCTCATGAACGTAAGAGTTTCCATCTGGTTTGCTGAGTCTGGCAAGGGCCTAGCACAGTTCCTGGCTCAGAAAGGATTTGTTGAATGAATGAATGAATGAGAATGAGAAGCAAGAAAGGCAACTGGCTTCTCCTCTCAGCCAGTCCCGGTTGGGCCCCTCGCCTTCAGAGATGCACAGTAGGGTGGTGGTGGGGCTGTCAGAGCCCACCCTGACCCCACGCTGGAGTTTGCCTCCTGGCGGCCGGGTCATCGCTGAAGGCTGGATGATGGATTGCCAGCAGTCAGCTCCAAGAACATAGGACAGACTCACTGAGGCAAAGAAATCATCCTCTCCCCCTTTCCTTCTCAAACTTATAATGTCCTCTCAGTCTGCCATGAGCACATGGCCTCACCATACACCCCGTTAGGAAAGAGAAGGAAATCAGAGACCGGCTCCCTCACCCGCCTTCTCCGTCAAGCCCACCGGCCCCGTTTCCAGGGCCTCCCTCCTGCTCCTCCCTGCGCCCATCAAACTAAATAAACCCCTCCATGCGGGCTCTGGAAGCCCCCTCCCCAGTCTCTCTCTACTGAATAATCCCATCACCATAAAAACACAGTCTGGCATTTCTTACCTCACGTGAAAAACAAAAATAAAAACCCAACAACCACCTTTGACTTCATGTCCCTTTCAACTATAGCCCCGATTCTCTGTTCTTTTTTGTAGAAAACCTACTTGAATTTTTATTTGATATCCAACAAACTAATACGACCCAAAGAGAGCTCTTGGTAACCCCAATAAAAACCTGTTTCTAATAAGCTTAATTTGTACTGTTTGTATGGAAATACAAAAAACCTCGAATAGCCAGAGCAACCTTGGGAAAGAAGAATGGTACTGGAGGAATCAACCTGCCTGACTTCAGGCTCTACTATAAAGTCACAGTCATCAAGACAGTATGGTACTGGCGCAAAGACAGAAATATAGATCAATGGAACAAAATAGAAAGCCCAGAGATAAATCCACGTACCTACGGACACCTTATCTTCGACAAAGGAGGCAAGAATATACAATGGAGAAAAGATTTATCTCTTTAACAAGTGGTGCTGGGAAAACTGGTCAACCACTTGTAAAAGAATGCAACTAGAACATTTTCTAACACCATACACAAAAATAAACTCAAAATGGATTAAAGATCTAAATGTAAGACCAGAAACTATTAAACTCCTAGAGGAAAACAGGCAAAACACTCTCCAACATAAACCACAGCAGGATCCTCTATGACCCACCTCCCAGAATATTGGAAATAAAGGCAAAAATAAACAAATGGGACCTAATTAAAATTAAAACCTTCTGCACAACAAAGGAAACTATAAGCAAGGTGAAAAGACAGCCCTCAGATTGGGAGAAAATAATAGCAAACGAAGCAACAGACAAAGGATTAATCTCAAAAATATACAAGCAACTTCTGCAGCTCAATTCCAGAAAAATAAAAGCCCCAATCAAAAAGTGGGCCAAAGAACTAAACAGACATTTCTCCAAAGAAGACATACAGATGGCTAACAAACACATGAAAAGATGCTCAACATCACTCATTATCAGAGAAATAAAAATCAAAACCACAATGAGGTACCATTACACGCCAGTCAGAATTGCTGCTATCCAAAAGTTTACAAGCAATAAATGCTGGAGAGGGTGTGGAGAAAAGGGAACCCTCTTACACTGTTGGTGGGAATGCAAACTAGTACAGCCACTGTGGAGAACAGTGTGGAGATTTCTTAAAAAACTGGAACTAGAACTGCCATATGACCCAGCAATCCCACTTCTGGGCATACACACCGAGGAAACCAGATCTGAAAGAGACACGTGCACCCCAATGTTCATCGCAGCACTGTTTATAATAGCCAGGACATGGAAGCAACCTAGATGCCCATCAGCAGACGAATGGATAAGGAAGCTGTGGTACACATACACCATGGAATATTACTCAGCCATGAAAAAGAATACTTTTTTTTTTAAAAGAATACATTTGAATCAGTTCTAATGAAGTGGATGAAACTGGAGCCTATTATACAGAGTGAACTAAGCCAGAAAGAAAAACACCAGTACAGTATACTAATGCATATATATGGAATTTAGAAAGATGGTAATGATAACCCTGTATGTGAGACAGCAAAAAGAGACACAGATGTATTGAACAGTCTTTTGGACTCCGTGGGAGAGGGCGAGGGCGGAATGATAGGGAGCATGGCATTGAAACATGTAAATTATCATACGTGAAGTGAATTGCCGGTCCAGGTTCAATGCATGATACAGGATGCTTGGGGCTGGTGCACTGGGATGACCCAGAGGGATGGGATGGGGAGGGAGGTGGGAGGGGGATTCAGGATGGGGACACATGTACACCAATGGAGGATTCAAGTTAATGTATGGCAAAACCAATATAATATTGTAAAGTAAAATAAATAAATTAATCAATTTTAAAAAATTAAAAAATAAAATAAATTTAATTTGTACTATGTACTTTTTAATTCGAAGCCATGTAAATGTTTTACAGACTTAAAAATAGGAAATTTAATTTTAAAAAGCCTAAGATTAGAAAATGGAAACAAATGACCTTAACTGTATATTATTATATAAAATTATAATTAATTTAATATAATTATAATTAATACAATTAATTATAATATAATGATAATATATTATATACTTATATATTATATATATTTATATGTTATATATAATAAATTGTATAATATACAATAAATATTATATAATATATAATTATTATATAATTATATTATGCATTACATTATATATTAATTATATAATAAATTATTTAATTATATATTATAATGATAATATAGTATAATATATTATATATTATAAAATAATTATTTTTATTATATATAATTCCTATTATGTTATATTATGTAATAATTATGTATTATTATAATGAATATAATATATATTATTATATATTATAATTATATTTATGTTTAATTATATATTATATATAATTGAATATATAATTAATATAATATATGTTATTACATAATAATTATTATATATAATTACACATATATAATATATAACAGTATATTTTATTTATTATATGTATTATAATAAATATAATAGAATTGTAATATATTATTATATTAAATACATAATATATAATAATCTATAATATTATATATATTATATATTATATGTTAAAATAATATAATACATAATATATAATTTTATATAATAATTAAATAACATAATACATAGTATATTATATATTATATCATATATTTATTATTATATATAATGTATTATATATTTATTATTATATATTATATATTATATAAAATATATATTTAAAATATAACATAATTATAATGATAATATAATTATCATTAATCATAATATAATTAAGGTATATTATAATATATTATGATGATTTCATAATTGCCATAATATATAACCTCTTATTAATATAACCATACAGAAAAAGTGTTATTTCAAATGACCTTAAAACATACATTTGAACAGTTCAACCATAGTGGGATATGTCATAAAGAAAAAAGAATAGCAGAGAAATCTTAAACCTCGTGTCATTTTTTTTTTTTCAGTAATAGTGGTATATTGTCTTGAAATTATTTTGTGTACTTTGTTAGATAAAGTAAATATTTAATTATGTTGTTAGAAACCAAGATTTTCAGCCTAAGAGAAAAAAAATCAAGTTTGAAATAAAGAAAATCCTGAAACATTAGGTTTGAGTTGGAGATTTCAGTATAAAGTCCAATTGTCCTCGAAACCGAGGAGATTTAGCAGCAATAACAAGCCAGTGGCAGTGAGCATCCTGAGAGCCCACATCCGGTCTTTGCAGGTCTGGAGCAGGAAATATAGTGGGCCCTCAGAACCCAAGGGCGCCACATCCAATCAAAGCTTGAAAATATTGGGGGAAAAGTCCAGAGAGTTCTAAAAAAGCAAAGCTTCAAGTTGCCAGGCACCTATTAATCTAGCATTTAAGTGTTTTAGGTTTTATAAATAATCTGGGCTTCCTTGGTGGCTCAGTGGGAAAGAATCTGCCTGCCAATGACACAGGTTTGATTCTTGGCTGGGGAAGATCCCCTGGTGAAGGAAATGGCAACCCACTCCAGTATTCTTGCCTGGAGAACCCCACGGACAGAGGAGCCTGGCAGGCTACAGTCCATGGGGTCACAAAAGGGTAGGACTCAACTTAGCGACTAAAACAACCACCAGAGATGATTTAAAGAATATAGGAGGGGGGACTTCCCTGGTGGTCCAGTGGGTAAGACTCCAGACTCCCAACGCAGGGTGTGTCCGGGTCTGATCCCTGGTCAGGGAACTAGATCCCACGTGCCACAGCTAAGACCCACTGCAGCCATATATGTAGGTTCTATGCAAATACTACACCATATTATATAAGAGACTTGAGCATTCCTGGATTTTGGTGTCCTCGGGGATCCTGGAACAAATCCCCTGAGAATACCAAGGGGCAACTGTACACAATACCTTGGGACATGCTATTGTGCCGGAAAACAAGAATGCTTTCTTTCAAAGACTAAAGGAAGTCTTGTCAAAAGGACATAGGGGTCATGCTGAAGAGAGTTCCACTGACTAACATTAAGATAACGTGAGTATCAAAAGGAACAATGGTTGCAAATGACTGAAGAATACTGAATATTTTTTTAAGTCCAAGATTTCATGATGAAATACCAAAAAGAGGAAGCAAAACAAAACTATCACATCAACTCGTTATCCTGAAACATGGCAGTTAAGGGAGAGGGACCAAGGATGTATCTACCTTTCCTTTAAGAACTGCATTTCAGAGTATTCAGCTAGCTCTTATTAATGAGGGAAAGTTCTTCCTTATAGGAAAATCCCAGCTGATAACTGTAGAAGGCATCATAGAACTTGGAAGTCACCATTTCATGAGAGTTGACAGAACTGATTCAGGCAACAGACGACAAATGCTCAAACAATTATGGAAAATACTGTTGCCGAACTGAATATTCACAAAGTGTCACCCCACAAATTAACCTGCTGGTCCTGCAAGGACGAAGGCAAAGCTGAAAAGAGTGGGATCAGGTGGTCACTTGCTCAGATGTCATTACGGTGTCTTATGAAGCACGAAGTCCTGCTTGTATAGGTTCTCACCAGAAATGCATGACCTACAGGACTTCCCTGGTGGTCCAGCGGTTAAGACTTCCCTTTTCAACGCAGGGGGTGCAGGTTCAGTCCTTGGCGGGGCAGCTAAGATCCCACATGCTTTGTGGTCAAAAAAAACCAAAACATAAACAATATTGTAACAAATTCAAAAAAGGCTTCAAATATGGTCCACATTAAAAATAAGAAAACATTAAAAAATGTGTGACCTAGATCTTACCAAGTCATTTTTTAAATTCTCATTCATAGAGAGTAATGGAGACAAAGAAACAGCTTATGTGACTCCTTGAGGAAGCAATGAGACAATGAGATGGAATATTAATTAATCTGGCTTCCTCAGTAAATCATGGAGAATAAAGAGTAGTCTTTAACTTTCTATTGAAAGTGACATCATGATCACTGCAGTGTGTGGTTCTTGCTTGTGTTCCAGTTCAAACAAGATGAGGGTAAAGGTGTATTTTCAGGATAAATAGAGAAATTTAAGAGATAATTGTTCACCATGGTGTGTGTGACAATAGTATTGTGATTATATAATAAATTGTCCTTATACCAGAAAATGGTCTTTTTATTTCTCAGAAATGCATACTGAACTACTTCTGGGTAAAACTTTGTGATGTGTATAATTTTAAAAAATTATTTATCTGGCTGCTCCAGGTCTTTAGCTGCAGCATGAAAACTCTTAGTTGCAGCCTGCTGGATACAGTTCCCTGACCAGGGATCTAACCCCAGCGCCCTGCACTGGGGGCATAGAGTCTTAGCTACTGGACCTCCAAGGAAGTCCCATAATGCATGGGATATAATGTGATACAATTTTATATCACAACACTTCAGTGAAAAATATGTAAGTCAACATGGCAAAATATTAATAATTGTTAAATATAAGTAGCCGGTATATGGTGATTCATTATATCATCCTCTATGTATTCCTATATGGTTACTTTTCTTCATAATAAAAAAAGGTTTTAAAACACCCCTATCTCTCTCCAACCCTATTTGATCTCACAGAATGACTTTCCCAGATGTCTTATTGCTGAAAACAAAATCCTCAAATGAAGGATGATCCATCAATCCATGGATGACTCTCATTTCCTCACATCCAGCTGCTTTCCCAGGTGGAGCTAGGGGTAAAGAACCTGCCTACCCATGCAGGAAACTTAAAGAGAGGTGGGTTCCATCCCTGGGTTGGGAAGATCCCCTGGAGAAGAGAATGGCTACCCACTCCAGTATTCTTGCCTGGAGAATCCCATGGACGGAGGAGCCTGGTGGGCTACAGTCCACAGGGTCACAAAGAGTCAGACACGACTGAGCAACTAACAGTTTCACACTTTGACTTTCGCAAAGTTTATTAGGCATTATTATGGACCAGGCGCTGACATCCCCCAAGGGCCAAGCGCAGCCTGGCTGTCTGGAGGAAGGAGAGCGAATGCTCAGGACCGGAAGCCTGCGGCCACTGGCTCCACCGGCTCCTTCTCACTCTGCGATGTCCCTTTCCTCTTACCTCCCGGACCCACCACCTCCCACCTTCTCTCACCCTCCTGCGACAGCCACGCTGGCCTCCATCCTTCCTGGAATACGCAAGGCAAGCTCCCCTAAGAGCAGAGCTGGGCTTTAACCACTCCCTGCTTTTCACTCTTTTGCTAGATTTCTGCATGGCTCACCCCCTCTTCTCCAAGTCATCAGACATCACCTCTACCACCCTGTTTGTACTTGCCTCCTCGGCCCTTCCGACCCCCTTTCCTTTTTCCTTAGCACTTTCCACCACGCTGGATACTTGGCTTTGCTGATTATATTTATTCAACTTCCTCCCCCAGCTAGAAAGCAAGCTTCATGAGCCCAGGCACTTGGCTGTTATTTTCACTGCTATATCCTGACTGACAATGCCTGGGGTATAACAGGTACTCAATGTGTGTTTGATGAATGAATCCTTACGACCGTGTCATAAGGCGGGTTCCATTCGCCCTCATTTCAGAGGTCTGGAGAGGAGAAGTGACTTGCCTAAGGTGACACAGCAAACTCATGGTAGTACAGCTTTATAGGAGCTTCCCACTGCCCCAGGAAGTCAGACAGACTGAAGCTTGAATTTTGGCTCTGCCCTGCCTGACTGCATCTCTGCATGCTAGGTCACCGCACTTGATGGACTGTAGCCCACCAGACTCCTCTGTCCATGGGATTCTCCGGGCAGGAAGACCGGAGTGGGTTGCATTCCCTCCTCCAGGGGATCTTCCCGACCCAGGGATTGAACCTGCATCTCTTATGTCTCCTGCATTGGCAGTTGGGTTCTTCACCACTAGAGCCACTGGGAAGCCTGGCCAAGTCTGTACCTCCCGGCTAAGTCTCTCTCTTCTCAGATTCCCATCTGCCTCGTCCCTACTTAAATGGGAGGACTGAACGAGGTGATACAACAGGGAGCACGGCTCCTAGGAGGCTCTCCGGGAGCCGGAATCTCCGCCCCCCTCCCCTGGGGCCCCGGGCGCACCTTGACCTGAGCGTAAAAGCTGCCCAGGCTGCAGCACACGCGGCACTCGAGCATGGCGTCGTCGTTGTTGTGGGCATAGCGCAGGGCCTTCTCGAAGCTCTCCAGGGCCTTCTGGAAGAGGCTGAGGCCCAGGAAGGCGTTGCCCATGCTCAGGCTGACCTGGCCTCCGAGCTGGGCGGCCGCCCTGGTGCCGGGCAGGCCGAGGCAGGTCTTGCAGTAGGAGATGGTCTTGTGGAACTCACACAGCTTCTCGTTGCTGCGCGCCAGGTTCAGGTAGCTCTCCAGGAGGAAGTTGGCGTCCTCCAGCTCCCGGGCGGTGTCAATCTGGACCACAGCAAACTGCCCGCCGTGGAGGAGGGCCGGGGCGCTCAGCCTCTGCCCCTCCAAGGCCCCCCCACCCCCCAGCCCAGAGCCTCAGACCCAGAGCACCCACCCCTAGCCTCAGATATGCGCTGGGCTCCCCAGCCAGACTGGAAGCTGCACCCGGGAGCCTTCACCTCCCAAACCCAGACCCTCCGCTTTCAACTTCCATCCCGAACCTGGTCTGCAGTCTCCACCACCAGCCCAGCCCCCCAGCCTCGAACCTGGAGCCAGTGCACCGCCCCCCACTCCAGGCTTAGACAGAACCCCATAGGAAAGGACTGGAACCTCGACTCTGAGACCTGGCCTCGAGTGCTTCAAACCCCGAGGCTGAGAACCTCAGACACCAAAGCTCAAGGCCACAGGCCCAAATCCAAAGCCAAGACAGAGCATCCAAGATCCAGGGCCTGAGATGCAGAGGATTCAGAGCCTCAGACCTTGGCCACCAGCATGGGGGGTACGGACGAGTCTGAGGAGGCGGGCAGTGGCCTGGGAAGCCTGGGAGAAGCCCCGCCGGGTCCCACCTGCCCAGCCTGGCCACGCACGCTCCCACCTTGAGCATCTCCTTGTAGCGGCCCATCTCCGAGTGGGCCGTGACGAGGCAGCCCAGCACGCGGAAGCGCCCCACGAGGTCTGAGCTCTTCTCCAGCACCTTCATCCACACCTGCAGCGCCTTCTCCGTGTGGTTAGATTGGTACAGCTGGAGCCCCTTCTCGATCTGCTGCTTCGTCTGGTCCTGCCCCATCCTCCCAGAGACCCCTGGTGGCCCCGCGCCTCTAGGCTCTCATGGGACACCACCCCCACCCCCGGTGCCCGCTGCCCACCCAGCCCCGAGCAGGCGCAGGGCCTGAATGGAGAGCGGGCGCCACCCTGGGAACAAAGCCGGTCCAGCCCCTGTGCGCAGCTGTCCCTGCCAGTTGGGGCCACGTGGCCGCCAAGGAATGTCAGCCACAAGGTCACGCGGGCCCCTGCCGCACCAGCCCCCAAGCTGGGAGGAAGGTGCCCGCCCCCTCCTGCCCCGGGGCACCCCCCTCGGGCATCTCTTTAGCACCTCTGACCCTGGACCCAAGCCCCCCTGGCAAGGCAGGCTCTCCCTGCAGCCTGAGAGGTGGAGGAAGTAGGGGTGAAGCTGGGCACATGGGTGGCAGGGAGGCTGGAGCGGGTGCCCAGCTCTGAGCCCTCTTCTGAATCTCCGCCATCCCCAGAGCCACCCTCCCCGGCTCTGCTTCTGTGAGGGACTGGCCACACACCTGCGCACAGGCCCACCCCATCCCAGTGAGTCCTAACCCACAGCCCAGCCCAGCCAGCAAGTTGCTCACCTCTCTGGGCCTCAGTTTCCTCATCTGTAAAATGGAACTGTCATAGGCCACTAAATCCTCACCTACTGACGTTCTATGAGCTGCACAGTGCGATGGCTAACAGCGTGGACCCTGGACCAAGCTGCCGACTTTCGAATGCCAACTTTGCCATTTATTAGTTCAATGGGCAGCGTGCCTTTGGGTGGAGAGGAATGGTTCCCACTTCACCAGGCTGTTGGAACTATATGCCTTAATAGCTGGCTGGGACTTGGAACAGTGCCTGACACATGGGAAACACCACGTGACAACAAGCAAGAGGTTATCTCAAGCTGCGTTCATCTGCTCCATGGCAAATTGTCCACAAGGAACAGAAATTGGTTTTTGAAGTTTTAAAAAATATCCAGCTCCAGGGATGCACAGTTTTGAGCCTTAGTCCACTGTGGCTCTCTTTGCCTGGCAAAGCAATAAAGCTATTCTTTTCTACTTCACCTCAAAAAAATAAAAACAATAAACAAACAAAAAATATAAATTTCCAATCCCAGTCTGAAAGAGTCCCTTATAATGAGCTTGAATGCCAGACACCATGGAGAAGGGCAAGGTCTTACAGAGGGAGCAGGCAGACCCGTGAAGGCTCCCAGGGTTGAGAGAGGGCTCTGCCAAAATTACCAGCTCTTCTCACTGCATGGTTCTCTCCCCACTCTGCAAACCAGGCTCCTTCCTGCCCCAGGGCAAAGTTGTCCTTTCAGAGCGGACAGTGGCTTTGAGCATACAAGCATCCCTCATTTTATTGCAGTTCCCAGATGCTTGTCTTTTACAAATGGGAAGTTTGCGGCAACCCAGCATCGAACAAGTCTGTCAGCACCATTTTTCCAAGAGCTCACTTCATGTCTCTGTGAAGACATGGCAGTTCCCATAGTATTTGGAGCTCTTTCATTATTACGTTTCTTATGGTGATGTGTGATCAGTGCTCTTGGCTTAACATCTTTTTTTTGGTTTCGTTTTGTATTGTTAAGCTTTTGGACATATCACGTGCAGGACACATGGGATCTTAGTTCCCCGACCGGAGACTGAGCCTGAGCCCACTGCGTTAGGAGCACAGAGTCTTAACCACTGGACCACCAGCGATGTCCTGTATCAGTGATCTTTGATGCTACTACTATGTCTCACTGAAGGCTCAGACGATGGTTAGCATTTTCAGCAATAAAGTATTTTTCGGTTTAGGTCTGAACATTGTTTTTGTAGACATGATGCTATTGCACACTTAATAGACTACAATATAGCATAGACATAACTTTTGTATGCACTGGGAAACCAAAATATTCATGTGACGTTTTATGGTGATGTTCGTTTTATTGTGGTGGTCTGGAACCAGACCCGCAGTATCTCTGAGGCGTGCCTGTATGCACAAAGTTGAGCATTGATCTAGCCCTAACACCAGAAGATTTTCATCACCCTGGAAAGAAGCCCTGTGCTCACTCAGTCGAGTTAGGCACTGCTGCCCGTGCCCCCGTTCACATGGGATGTTGACTGCAGGCCTCAGAATGTGACCTATCTGGAGACACCATCTTTTCTTGGCCACACTGCCTGGCTTGTGGGAGTGTCATTCCCTGACCAGGGATCAAACCCGGGCCCTCAGGAGCGAGAGCTCAGAGTCCTAATCACAGGGCTGCCAGGAATTCATCTTTAAAGAGGTAAAACGAGGTCACTAGAGAGGGCCCTGATCCCGTGTGACCAGCATCACAAGAAGAGATTAGGACGTAGACAGAGAGAGGGAGAAAGAGGGCCGTTGACAAGCCAGAGGGGCCTCGGAACGAAACTAACCCTTGTAACACGTGATCTCTGACTTCTGCCCTCCAGGTCTCTGAGAAAACACATTTCCGCTGCTTAAGCAGCCCCTGCCCGTGGCACAGTATCACTGCAGCCGGAGCAAACGGACGCACTCCGCAACGGGCTCGTCTGCCCTGGCCATGTGCTCATCTGTCATGTAAACGGACGCGTACAACATGCGGCCCATCAAGCCATGTAAGTGGCCCCTTGTGACCGGCTCCGTTCAGCATCAGGTTTCCAGTGTTGTAGCAGGAATCGTCCTTCATTCCTTTTTATGGCTGACTAGTATTCTAGGGCTTCCCTGTGGCTCAGCTGGTAAAGAATCCGCCTGCAATGCGGGAGACCCGGCTTCGATCCCTGGGTTGGGAAGATTCCCCTGGAGAAGGGAAAGGCTACCCCCTCCAGTATTCTGGCCTGGAGGATTCCATGGACTATAAAGTCCACGGGGTCGCAAAGAGTCGGACACGACTGAGCACCTTTCACTTTCAGTATTCATTGTACATTTATACCATTTCGTTCATCCATTCGTTAGTTAATGCACATTGGGTGGTTTCCCTTTCTGATCACGAATAATGATGCTATAAACATCCATGTACAAATTTTCATGTGGACAAGTTTTCATCTCTCAAGTATATAGGAGTGGAATTGCTGCGTCATAGGTAACTCTGTGTTCAACTTGTGAGGAACCTGATTGCCCCAGGGCCTTTGCCCCTCAAGATCCCTTTCCTCCTCCCTACTTCAAAGTTCTGCCCAGTTAAGTCCCAGTTGGGATGGATCTCACAGAGAATTAAATTCCATTCTGATATAAGATGCATCTCTATAATTTCACATTCATTGATGAGGGTATCGGCTTAGTGTCTGCTTCCCCCTCTCAAATGTGTGGGCAGGAACTTTATCTCGTTTTTCACTGGCCTGTCTCCAGAGCAAAACCTGGCATGCAGTGGCCACTCTAAATTTTAAAATTAAGCTTTCATTCCTCCCTGTTTTTCCCCACTCATTCATTTAACATATTTTGAGTAGCTGCCCCAGGCTTACAGCTAACCTGCCATATCTCCTTCATCCTGAGGAAACTGAGCAGTGGCAGAAATCACTGCCTCCTGTTTGCTGCAAGCAAAATGGGTCCAGAGTGGTGCAGTCTGGGCCTGGGGCGGGGAGGTCCGTGCCCCAGGGTCATACAGCGAGGGGATAGAGGAATAGGCCCTTGGGACTAGAGAGACATTGGAACGTCCCAGGGAAAGTGCTCTTTTTAAATTTAAATTCAGTTTTTAAATTTATTTAACTGCGCAGTTGTGTCTTGAATCCTTGTGACCCCACCGACATTAGCCTGCCAGGCTCCTCTATCCACTGGAATTCTCCAGGTAAGAATTCTGGAATGGGGTAGCCATTCCCTTCTCCTGGGGATCTTCCCAACCCAGGGATCAAACGTGGGTCTCCCACGTTGCAGGCAGATTCTTTACCATCTGAGCCACCAGGGAAGCCCATTTAATTAATTAGTTAAGCCTGTCTTGGGCCGTGCTGGTCCTGGTTACTGCGCTCAGGCTTTCTCTCATTTCGGCGCGGGGGGCTACTCTTCACTGCGGTGGGTGGGCTTCTCCAGCCGTGCCTTCTCCTGTTGCAGAGCGTGGGCTCTAGGTGCACAGGCTTAGTTGCTCCAAGGCATGTGGGACCTTCCTGGAGCAGGAAGATGCAGGTGTCCCCTGCCCTGGCGGGAAGCTTCTTAGTCGCTGGACCGCCGCGGGGGTCCTGGGGGCCGTTCCCTCGAGCCGGCGCACAGGAAGCCAGGCCGAGGGGGCGAGCTGGGAGCCCCCGCTCAGCCGGGAAGGCGAGTCCTGGGCTGACCTCCAGAGGGGAAGGAAGCCGGACCCACAAGCCAAACACTGAGGAGCCGGCACGTTCTCTCCCATCTGTGGCTGAGATACAGTCCAGCTCCAAGTCCGCCATGGGTCTTTGCTGGGAAGGAGATGGGCACTCTGCCTCAGCATCCCAGCGTAATCTGGAAGCACAACCTTCCAGGTACCTGGGAACTCAAATGATCTCAAAACTCAAAGACCTGACCGAGTTTTCTCTGCCCCCAAGTGAGCCATTTGCTGACCTCTGAACACAGTTAGGTCAGGGTCATGCTCCTTTCGGGCAAGGGGGTGGTCTTTGTACTAGCATCTGCTCAGCCCCTGGCAAAGTGGGAGAACAAAGGAAGGCTAGTAAGTCACACTGCCGAGCTGAGCACCTCTTCCCGCTTACAGATAACTGGGTGGGACCCGAGGGTGAAGTGACCCGCCCAAGGCCACACCTCGACCTCGAGACGGAGCAGGGAGTGCACCCCAAGCAGTGTGACTCCAGGGGTCTTACTCTTGATCACGACACTGTCCCAGGAGAGAGGGAGAAAAGTCAAGGGGAAGTAGTTAGCCATATCCAGGAAGCTTAGCGATTTTCACCAGACACACCAAGCCCCTTGGGAACATGGTCCAGGCTCTGACCTGGCTGGGCAGGAGAAATGTACACAAAGAAGGCTAAGGCGGGACTTCCTGGTGGTCCAACGTCTAAGACTCTGAGCTCCCAATGCAGGGGGACCGAGTTCAATCCCTGGTTGGGAACTAGATCCTACATGTCGCAACTGAAGATC